GAAATGCCATTTCTGATTTGAGGTGAGAGTCCCAACACTACTCGTTTGACTTAAGAACTCCTTCCTTTCCATTGCCTGTGTTCTTGTAAAGGTCTTAATTAAAGATTTTGTAAACTATTGATTGTTTTGTAAGTCGCAATTCATCCTCTGGCGACAAGTGTCTCATATGAGAACTACCAATTTTGATTACAACACTGTAAGCGCACTGAGAGTTATGATTTGAGAGCATCACGCTCGAATATCCGATATCGCGGTTCGAGTTTAATATAGATCAGATTTCAGATTCTCGGATCCATGTCCCCACGAAGAGAAGAACTATATGACCAAGTACACCATTATCTAACTCTTCATCTGAGACATGGTTATCTCTTATAGCCAGGTTCCGGCTCAAAATAATCGATCGAACCGTTTTAGTCATTCGAGAGGTTTTTGGAAGTACCCAGCTGGGAATCAGTATTAATACCAATAACAAGAATCACTCATGCCAACAGCTTCTATTATGGATTAAATAGACAATTAAAAAGTACTCGTATAGTCCTCACTCGACGAACGAAGACCAGGACTTGCGTAGGATGTATGGTACTCTTAGTGTTGGGAACTACGAATGCCAGAGCCGTCGGAGCTATATACGACGACACTAATATAGTTTAACGCATCAAGAAAAAGTGAATAGGCCGGCTAGATGATGTGGTCCAGATGGATAAGAATACTTAAGCTTTGAAAGTTTTTCATAGAGTACTCATCGGAAAGGTAGATCAGGTAAAGAAAGTCCTGGCTGTACTGGATATTTCCAATTGACGCTAGACTGCGAAAAGAAAGAGGGAATGGCTTACACTTTTAAACTCGGCTATAATCGGTTACGCGATGTCTATGCCAGTAATGCAGAAGAAGAAGAAGAAGAAGAAGAAGAAGAAGAAGAAGAAGAAGAAGAAGAAGAAGAAGAAGAAGAAGAAGAAGAATAAATGTATGTGTAACAGAGGCTTTTCTCAATTCTTTGAGATTACAAACCCTTCGATATTTCTTTATTTTACATTTCTTTATCTAAAGGACTTCTTCGAGTTCTTTAGGACCAAACGACGAAACTTTAATAAAAAGAATACTGCTCCAGGAACAAATGTATAATACAGCACCGTGGTTAATGGATATGTAGAAACCTACAGTTTATTCTAAGCCGCCTTCGAATGGCTGATGGTTTTTTCATGAGGAGCCTTTACTTCATGTCCAAAATACACTCACAGGAGTGGACCTTCCCTGCCGACAGGTGACCACATTTAGAAAATTGAACTTAATTTTTTATTTAAATTAATTTTTCATAACTTTTGTATGTGGGTGGCACCGATATTTGAACCCGAGCCTTCCGCATGTCAGTAAGCAATGCTAACCACACGGCTACCGCGACTGCTACAAAGTGAGCATAGTTCATCGAATTAGGAGTACCTCTGTTGAAACCAGAGGAGGATAAAGCAAGATTATCGCTCAATTGTAAGGATCAGGTGGAGAAGGACCTCACCTCATTTGGCGTGTCCAATTAGCGCCAAATGTCTAAGAGCAGCAATGACTATCGCAACCAAGAAAAGAGCATTTGCCGACTACGCAGAACCCACTGTACGCTTTTCTCCTTCAACATATGCAGCCATCCACATGCCGCATTTCCACGCACAGAACTTTACTCCACCGTCTGCACTAACAGCAACTGTGGAAAGTGGAGAGATTGTCACTGGCAGTGACACTTTCAACTACAAACCAGCGCAGGCCATGCAGAGCTCGGTATTGGAATTCAATTAGTCGCGTGTAAATCACAGGAAAAATGCAACTCTGCAGAAAAATGTGTCCCAACGAAAATTAAGCAAATTTTCTTTATTTAATTTGAAGTAAAAATAATGCGATAAAATGCCACACCTCAAGCTGCCAACTGTTGCTTTAAGCGCATTGAAAGATTTTTCTGACTCTCTCATAATCCAACTGGAATTTACTCACTCGCCGCTATGCAATACTTTAAACGACTTTTGTTGATACGCTCCATTTACGCGCTCAGCCAACTGATAAAGACAATGAAAACTGGAAAAAAATGTGTGGAGGGAGAGGGGTACGTCTTGAGATTTCTATATTTACTCAGCAAGTCACAGCTCACTCAACCACAGCCAGCCATCGACAGGCAATCTTCATACAAAGTACACACACCACCCAAAACAACAATAATACCAAAAGTTATTCATACCACACCAACCGGACGCATGCTACTTGCCACATTCCGCAGACGATTGCGGGGCACATTTAAACCACTTTGCCGCTTAGCTCTTAAAGTCGTACGGAAATCCTTCTTATTTCTTATCCTTAATCTTAATTATAGCGAGTAGACAGGCAAGTCTGTGCCGCCCTCACCCCTACGCAGTGATTGAGTGGCAGAATGAAATAGTGTGGAGTGGATTTTTAACGGCAGACGTGGGGCTGACATTCGTACGGGTAATTTGTAGTGGCATTTGTCTAGGCGTTAGAGTAAGGCGAGGCAAGCGGAAACAGGCAAAGTCGCGCACTTAGCAGCATGTGGAGTTCCGCTTGGAGGAAAGTGAAAAATAAGGATTTTCAAAATTTACGCCATTTACACCCGCGCACCTCCATCTCCATCCAGTCTTCAACAAGTGTGCGCGTCTGAGACGCTGTGGGTTTAGGGAACCGAAATAAAAACTTGTAAGTGGTGTTTTTGCAACGGTCTGCAGACTCCATGAATTATGATGAGTGGCATGTCATGGTGTGCTGGTAGGGCGAACATAACATGCGGCGGGCGTATGAATGTAGTTTTTGTAATATTTTTTTTTTACTGCTTCTGCGCTTGTCACACCCTTTTCACTGTTTATCGTTGGTTGTACAAATATTTTTTTAATATTTTTGACAGTCAAGCTGAGTTAGTTACCAGCGGCGAGCAGTGGCGTATGGTAAATTGTGTGAAAAATCTGCTGCGACTTTTATTAAGACAAATGATTGTGTTCTTGGCAGGGCGGAAATTTTTTTTCTCAATTTAGTCTTTTTTATTTCCTTACCTTCTTTGCTTGATTAAAAAATTATTATTATTAAATGTGGTGAAGATTTCTGAAATTCATTACTAGAGCTTGGCATTCGATATTTTATTAATTTCTGTAATATATCCAGCAAGATGAATAATTCTAATATTTACTTACTTCTTTCACTGGCGTAGAAAACTTCTAACGCCGACTTATCAGATCTTGCAATCGTCCATGCCTCCGTACCATATAGCAGGACGGGAACGATGAGAGACTAGTAGAGTTTGGCTTGCGTTCGTCGAGAGAGGACTTTACTTTTCAATTGCCTACTCAGTCCAAAGTAGCAACGGTTAGCAAGAGTGATGCTACGTTGGATTGCGTTATTATTGTTGTGATGCTAACCCCTAGACAGACGAATATCTACAACTCCGAGTCGCGAATGCGATGACTGTTTGTTTGATGACAGGAGATATTTCGTCTTGCTCGCATTCACTATCAGACCCATTCTCTTCGCTTCTTTATCGAGTATGAAGAAAGCACAACTAACGGCGCGGCTGTTGAGGCCAATAACGCCAATATCATCGGCACACTCCAGCAGATGTACACTCTTGTAGAATATTGTACCTTCTCTATTCAGCTCTGCAGCTTTTAGTATTCTCTCTAGCATCAAATTGAAGAAGTCACACGATAAGGAGTCGCCTTATGTGAAACCTCGTTTGGTATCGAACGGCTCGAAAAGGTCCTTCCCGATCCTGATGGAGCTTTTGGTGCTGCTTAAGGCCAGTTTACACAGCCGTATAAGTTTTGCGGGGATACCAAATTCAGACATAGCGGCGTAAAGGCATCTCCTATTCGTGCTGTCGAAGGCAGCCTTAAAATCGGCGAAAAGGTGATGAGTGTCGATCCTCTTTTCACGGGTCTTCTCCAATATTTGGCGCATGGTTAATATCTGTTCAATGGTTGACTCACCAGGTCTGAAGCCACACTGATAAGGTCCAATCAGTTTGTTGACGATTGGCTTTAGTCTCGCACACAATACGCTTGATAGGATATTAAAGAAGCTTGTGCCACATTAATTGATGCAGACTGCGGGGTCCCATTTGTTATGGATTGGGCGGAGCACACTTAAATTCCAATCGTCGGGCATGCTTTCGGAGATTTGTTCCCTCCGTAAATTCAATATATTCTGGGCATCGGTGACTAGATCACCTCTTTGTGTCCGACAAGAGTTTGCTCGGGCCTTGAGACCTTACGTCGGGAATTGTCTTTGTTGGCCAGCTTCTAGAGCTCTCCATAGTCATGCTTCTCGGCCTCTTTCTATTTTTGTCTGCGTATGCAGATACCTTTCGGATTCTATCCCATCATGCACATGTTGTCGTCTATCGCAACTCTACGAGGTAGGCAGTCTGTTTTCTCTTCACTGCGACACGGCAATCTTTATCGTACCGGCTATTTTTTGCGATCTTTACGAAATTCAATATATTTTCATTCTTACGAGGACATCAACCAGCTGGGCAGCGGCACCTTCCAAATTAAGAGACCGGACTTTCCAGGTGCAGGCCTAAAATCCTGATCCTTAATTCGTGTGCGGAGGTCATCAATAGATAGGGGGTATCTCACCTGAGGAGTTGTTAACTTTTTCATTGGAGTTGATTTCTACGTGGCGGGTGCCAAACCCAGAGCAGAAGACCGACGCATGCTCGCAGCCGTACCTCTGGCGAACAGACACTGCAATGAGACTTCAGTAGACCCATAAACCAAACAAGTCGCTGTGGCTCCACTGAGGCTTCCTCTCTCATTAGCCGTGACCCAAGGCTCCACATGGGTTGATTACTGCATCTTGCGGTATTAAATTTATTTTACTGTATTTTCGAAATATCATTTTAAGTTAAAATCTCAGAAATGCCTGCAGACGATAATATATAATAAATAGTATATAGTATGTAATGGTATATAAAAATATATAATATAGTATATAATAAAAATTTTTTTAATTTTCAGACGTCAATATGGTTGCCGAGCCAAAGCCACACCAAATTGGTAGAAAACGACAGAACGTATCCAAAACTGGAAATGACTGGTAAGTTAGAGGAAAATATAAAGAATATTAAACATTCTATTATGTAGTCAAAACTTTCGAAGAATACTGCACAAAATATCGGCTGTTTTCAGAATTTTCATTTGAAATCCCTAAGATATGTCAGTCAGAGTAAGAAAGATTTAAAAAAATTTAGTGGAAACTGCGATGCTTGGAAGGTGAATCTAAAAGAAAACAATGACTATCCTTCCCGGTCTTATTGGGGTTGGAAAACCTTGTAAATTTCAAACGATAATAGCGCCATCTGTGTGAGAAAACTTCTTCTTATTAGAATTGCATACTTAAGTGGAGTAACCCTGATTTAATTACCACCTTTTTGATATTTTTGTGGGAAATAGTTCTTCACAAGACCTTCTTTAAATAAATTTTACGACATATATGCCGTACATTCAACTGTACGAGCGGTGTTTCATGGTAATCTTGCTCCAAATTGATTTTACTTGTACTACTTCTTTTACAGGTGCTCCAGTCCAACTTATTTTCAGTATCATTGAGATATAAGGGAGTGGTAAAACTTAAATCCTTTGTCAAGAAAAAAATAATAATTTGGAGATTTTTTATTATTAACCCTTTCTAGATATAGAAATATCTTAGCTAATTTTCAATACCATTGTTTAAAAATGCTGGAGAAATTCTGCTCTAATTGCTCTATTTCTGCTTAGGGTAGACTGATAAAACAAAATGTAGAGTAAATAAGTGTAAAAAGGAAAGGAAAAAGTACCGTCTTCAGCCATACCGAAATTTCACGAACATGGTATTCAATTTTAGGATTGACGGCCTCGACAACCGAGTGGTTAGCATTGCGTACTGACTTTAGGAAGGTTCATATCCCGGTAACACCAACATCCAAAGGTTATGGAAGATTAGTTTAAATAGAAAGTTAGGTTAAACTCTATAATTGCAGTCGCCCCTAGGCAGGGAATTGGTTTCGAGTGCATTTCTGGCATGAAATAAAGGTCCTCATAAAAAAAACCATCAGCCGTTCGGAGGGGGCTTAGTAGAAATTGTAAGTCGCTCCATTTGTTGGAAAAACATCAAGACGCAAAACCATAAATTAGAGGAGGGTCTCGACCGTCGAATCGAAAGTATGTATATAGAAATTGATAAACTTCCTGAGGTCTTTTGACCACAACACATACTTTTGTGAGCGCTACCTAATCATGTAAATAGAAAAAATGTCTGAGGAATTATATTTCCTATAATTAAGTCTTGAAGTCGGTGATATTAGCCTTTATTCTTACGAGGACATCAACCAGATGGGCAGTGGCACCTTTCCAATTAAGGGACCTGACTTTCCAGGTGCATGCCTTCAAATCGTGATCCTTAATTCGTTTGCCTGGCTCATTAAGAGAAAGAGGGTATCTCATTGGAGTGGGGAGTCCCAAACCCAGCGTACAACCTCGCTAAGCGAGTAAGTTTAGAGGTTTTTATTCACATATATAGCGAACCGCTTGCTTTCTGACCGCCGCCTGCTCACAGCCGCACCTCTGGTGAACAGACGCAGCAATTAGACTTCAGCAGACCCTTAAACCGAGTAAGTCGGAGTGGCTCCACTAAAGCTTCCATGTTACCGCATCTTGCACAAGGGTTGATCACATTTCCAGGGTGCGGAATGTGCACGCAAGAGTAGGAATTGCATTGCCTCGCAACTGTAACCGCATACCCGGAAGCTTGGACACACCCCATTACACCCCGACTGAGATGTGTATGTAACACAAATTTATCGAAGCTTTGGGCGAAATTACATTCAAACGTAACAAGTAGGAAAGTGTGACACAAGCAGTTAGCGTGGCAAGTTAGCTCTGAAAGGTACATATGTACCTTCTGTCAATTTAATAGCTTTTCGTCAAAATGATTGATTACAGTGCTCAAACAGTATCGGCGGCGGCATTTATTAATGATCATCAACGTACTGTTAACATGTGTCCCTTTCATGGTAAGCAAATATAAAAAAAAAACTTTACACACATATGAACTAAACTTACATACATATATACATATATGTGTATGCAAGCACTTATGTGTAGAAAAATTGAAAAAACATCATATTCAGGGAAGATGTTGAGCAAGCAATACTTTTTTTTTACTTTTTTGTTTTTGTAAGAAAATTGTTTTAGTATTCGAGTTAACGCTTGAGTACGCAATTTAATTAAAATATTTTAGTTTTACTCCACATTTCTGCCCAATCCAAAGCCAAGCCTGACAAATGAGCTACAAATTCGAGTCATTAACCGATTTCCGATAGAAAAGTGCAGCCAACACAACTGTTGAGGTCACCAGTGTGGCCTGCCGGACTTTGGCCGCCTTAGTGGTCTATATGCACAGGAGATTTCTGTAGCACATCCTTATGCTCCCCCTTGTCTGCTCGCCACATTTTCGCTACTTAAAATATTTACATATCATTAAACCGCTTACATTACTTCCTTACCCTGCGCCGGCAACCGTTATTTGTTCGTTTATGCAAAATTTACTACAAAAATTAAATTCCTTGCAGTGGAGAGCCCAGCTGTGGAGCTGTACGCTTGGTAGGAGGCATCCCACAATTTATTTCATTTATTCAGTTTCGGTTTTTCTCGGTTTGAGCACTTTCTCTGCTCACCACTTGGCTTGGCTGGTGGACTGCATGCGGTTGCTTTCTGTAAATAACAACAAACAATTCATCACTTGAATGTCCTTTTTTCGCTTTGACGGTGCTCTGCAGCCCAGTGTGGCGTTGGCGTTTCTTTGTTTTAAATGGCGCTTGTGGGCGCTTGGCGGTTGAGGGCTGAAGGTTGAAGGCGGACTGCTGGAAATTTGTCGCAGTTTGTTGCCAACTATTTCTTTTTTGTCCTTTTTTTTGCTACAAGGGGTCAAAATGCAAATATACACATACATACATAAATGTGTATTTTTTCAATCAACTTCCAACCGTTTTGTGGAAAAAAGAACTTCGCTGTTTGGCTTTTTGCTCTGCGTCGGCAGCTTTGATATGTGGCCTGAAGTGTTCCGTCAACACTACAAATGCGTTGTACACACACATACAAGCACACATGCGCACACGTACAAGTATGAATGTTTACTTTTTGTGTCCATTTGTTTGACAAGTGCAAAAATAATACCGTTGCTGTGGCGTTAAATTCAGTTGCATGGACTCAACTCAGTTGCTGTTATTTTGTTTGGCGTTGACATTTGCCGTTTATAGCCAGGATAATGATGACCGCCTTGTTGTACTACGTGCACACTCCAACATACAGATGTGCATGTACATACGGCGTGTACTTCACTCGTTGTTCTTGCTCTCGTGTAATGTCGTCGCTTCATCGTTGCGCTTTTCGTGTTTCTGACAGTCGCGCGTTAATATTAAACAAACGCTTGACACCGTAGACCCTGTAGGAAATTTTACTGGGAAACTATTAAGTGGTTCTTTGTAGTGGGCGCGTATGCAGGTGTTCTTGCAGTGTGTAGATTTGGTTAATTAGTCGGTTGAAGCGGCTGCCGGGCATCAGCTCATCTAGGCGCCGAGTGAGGTCATTGTGATACCACTGAGAATCCTAATGACGCCCACTCGCCAAACGAAACAGTGTGTGTAGTTTGCAAAACAGCGTATACGGCGCATCTTGGCCGCCGCCATCTCACTCAGGTCCTAAATGTGGCCAAAGAAACTTCATTGTGCGGGAAACTCGCAGTGAAAGTACATTAGAATTTCAGGCTCTTCTTTGCAGGCACTTCTGCAGAAATCTTTAGATGGTACGTTCAATCTCTCTGCCTGCCTGCCCAATAGAATATGACTTCTAAGAAGTCTTGAGTAGACTTACTGCTGAAGCATTTTTCTTCATTTAATTCATATTCTTTCCATGTCCTTAGTAGAAAGATTGAAAAGATATGAGAATGAGATTCGATATCTTAATGAGGAAAGTCGGCGCTGCTGTTGTTGAAAGCAGTACAAAGAAGAAGGCTGAAGTTCTTTCAAGTATAGAAAAATTACCTAGATCATGATCTAGTTCATTCAAATGAAAGGTTTAACATTTAAAATGGTGTGAAGCCGTTTCTTCGCTATTATGTCACCTCATCGCTTCCCGTAGCGTATTCCACTTATGTAAGTATGTAGTGGCGCACATATTCATTTGTTGAATTGTTCGTGAGGCTGAAGCAGGGAGAATTTCATCTTTTGTAGAAGTGCTCAACTGATTCTGCTCAACCTGAAGTCGACTATGTAGTTTCTCCGCTGCTCTACAATGACACTTAGATGTGCGCCTTTCAGGGGGAATGATTCAAAACTTTAGAGTAGCTTACTCCAGATAACATTTAAAGGTGCTGAAAAGTCTGAGTTAGCCAATCGTGACCGTCTTGCATCAGCACAACCGAACTATCTCTGTCTTTCACATCCGTGTGACATGATACCCAATAGATCCTTTTTGTGTTAAAAAGAAACATACATATATAAAATGCTTTTGAAACTTCTGCACCGTATATATGTGAGCGACTGCGTCATTCAATTGACCGCCTCACGAAATCTTGCAAACTTCGCTCGGTTTCTCCCCCATTAAAACCATATTCGCTCGTGTTGTGTGGCATTTTGCGCTAACTTGTTGAAGCCACATATTATTCGAGACGATCGGAGCTTGTTGCCCAGCTAGGGGCGGTCTGAAACACAAAAAATTGAGAATAAGAGATGTTTGAAAAAACTACCTTAAATTTGTTCATTTTATTTTGCTGCTCACTATTCCCCTTTAGAGGCCCATTACTGCGTAGAGCGACTACTTGATTCTACTCTTCCAAGGTATTCATTGCCATAATCGTCTCAATTTCACTTTAAATTAAGTAAACAGTTAATTTCAAACCACAATTTGGCCATAATCCGTGCACTCACACACACACTCGCTACAGTAGTTGCTAAATCATCAATTGTTGCTACACCACATACGACGTACCACAAATGCCACACAGATTCGATTCGATGACAATAAACACTACATTAATAGCAGCAATAGCAGCAACAGCAACAAGAGCAGAGCAGAACCGAAAATTCAGTTGCTCAACCACCATGAAGTCGAAAATTTGATGGAAAGGTCAAAACACAAAATGGCCTAAATAAATACTCAAACGACCACAAATTGAGTGGAGTTGTGGTTGGAGGCGAGTGGCGAATGGCGATGGTTGTGGTGGCGGTAAAGGGGTTAAGATTTCGGGTGTGATTGTGGAAGGAGTTGGCGGTGTGTACTTTGCAAATGTATTGATGAAGTGTTTAAGTATCTTGTTTGGTTTATACTGACGGGTTAGGGGCCTGTAGGTAAATCGCCTAGTATTTGAATCCACTAAAGATGGAAAGTTGTGTGATTTGGGCAAGCATTTTGGGTGAGTTGGGTGTTTAAAATTTTTATTTTCGGATAGTGATTCGATGTATGCAAATTATTACTTATACAGGGTGATCCAAAATTAACTTAACTTCTAAATTTTCCGCCATTTATTTAGGCTTAATTAAAATGGAGATTTTCACCATAAACAAAGTGTCTTCATTACTGAACAAAATTTCAAAAATGATGGCAGTTTACAGACGCAGCTCGAAAGTTTCATTCAAAATATGGTCGTGAAGTGATTAATGGAAAACTTCTCTTTAACGTACACTCGCCAAAGAGCTGTGTCCTCATGCTACCAAAATTCCAAAATTCAATTAGCACAACAACCGAAGCCTAATTGCCATGCACTGCGGTCAAAATTGTCATATCTCTCCGATAGATTCTCTTTTGTTGAATTGGGGAATACTGGATCTTATGCCTTTGAGACCGCCTTTTAGGTACCTACAGGTAGCATTCTTGGTCCGTTATTATCTTTTCTTTTTATAAATGACATTGGAACTTTCTCAAGCTTCTTGCTTTATGCAAACAACTTAAAATTATTTATTTTTCAGGTGCTTTACTTTTAGAGGTGGATCTTAAGAATTTGGCTAATGTTTCAAAATGTTTCAACATTACTTTTTCACAGCGCTCAGGACGTCTTATCTTGGTATGTGGTTTGATGTGGGATTTATTTTCATTAATCACATCAACTGCATTATTCCTAAAGCTTATCCTAACCTTCCTTTTTACGGCGGTATGGTGGTGATTCCCAAGATCCCAACACGCTTAAAATTTTATATAATTCTTTGGCTCAATCAAAGCTACAGTCTGCTAGCTTAATTTGGAATCCAATTTATTCTTTAGACTTGAAATCGCCCAACGTAGGTTTATTCGTTTTGCTCTTGCTCCGCTTCATCTTCTCTGATCCTCTAGCTTCTCATACTACCCGATGTAAGCTAATAAATCTCAGATCTCTTGCTCTTTGACGATCTATACAGTCATTTCTTTTTATTTATGACATCATCTTAGGCTTAGTGGACTGTCAGAACTGCTTGAGCAAATTAGTCTTAGAACTTTGTGCTGTCATTATCCGTTTCATATATTAGGTTAAGTAAAAAGTTCGTTCGATTTTGTTTTATTGATTTCTTTTTTAAATATGTTAACTTTTTATACATTTGCCCGATTTAAGTCAAAAATGTGCCGTTTTGTTCGTAAACCCATTGCCAACGAGATGCTAACTTCTTTACACCCCTCTCTTAGAAGGCTGCGCCCCTATTGGCGAAAAACTCGGAGACTCAATTTTCACAAGCCTCTCTTGAGACCAAATTCTCACCATTAAGCGCGTTCGCCATAGACATGAAAAGATGGTAATCACTCGGCGCCAGGTCCGGACTATAAGGTGGGTGAGTTAGCACCTCCCACCCGAGCTCCTGGAGCTTCTGGCTCGACACGTGTGGGGCCTGGCGTTGTCTGATGGAATACAATTCGGCCTCTGTTGATCAAAGATGGCATCTTCGGTACATTTGTTGGCAGTATAGGGCCGAATTGAGCGTTTCCTTTTGGGGTTATATAAAATCACAGGTCTATTGCGACAAGCCCATAACAAAAGGAGGAGATGCAACATTGTGTCCATTAATTTCTGCCACATTTATACGGAATAGTCATTGAAAATTTCGGCAAATCAAAATGTCCATAAATAAGCTTAGTCTGCGTTCTTTATTATTTAATAAAAAAAATTCGAAAAGAAACCCAAAAACTCTGTCCTCTATTTAGTACAACTCTTGATTCGAAAAACAAGGTGGTCTTACTCAAAATTTTTTTTTAAAAATATTAACCATCTGACATAAAAAGATTTTTTGGCTTTTTCTTTAATTTTGTGCTACCAATTAAATTTTTTTAAATAAACTTTCAACTTTTTACAATTAAAATAAAATAAAAAATTACAAAAAATGCAAAACATTTCCATATAAAACATAAAAATAAAATGAAAAATAAAAGGTCTCACACAAAACTCAAGGGTTTTGCATTATATTTATGGAAATTAAATTATTTTCAGGCGGCTGAGCATTTTTTTTAAAAAGATGTTTGAAATATTTTTAAAGTGGAAAAATCTTGATGATGAGTTTCAGTCAATTCTGTATTGAGTGAAACTACATTCCTTTTTTTTGTAGAATGATTCCAGTCTTATGTTACTTTTTTTTGGGACACCCTTTTTCAATCAAATATTGACAATGTCTGTGTTAAAGAGTTGCAATTTGAAGTGGTTGACTTTTGGTGTACTCTTCACTGGAATAAATGTATGTATGTTTGTACCAGAAGAGATTCGTATGTGTGCTTTGGTGACCAATCACTCTCAGTTGCATGTTTCTTCTCAATTTTCATTTTTTTTCGGCCGCAGAGGCAGTCTAAAGTGCGGAGAATACATCGCCAAAAATTGATTTCTGAGAGAGTTAGATGTAAGATTTTCAAGTTGGGTGATGTGAGCATAGTAATTTTATAGCTTTTTAGTTAAGTTCATTTCTTGTATTCTTTGCGCATTCTTCTTCTGATAAATCAATTTAAATCTTTTTGAATTTTTCAATTTATTATGTATTTCACACTCATTCCACATCTCGATCTCTCTCTCTTCTCTCCCATGTTCTCTTCTATCTCTACAGGGACTACTTCTACGACAGCTACTGCTCCTCGACGCTGCTGCGCTCGTCCGGCGTACGACCGAAGAAGCGTAAACGCTTAATGACCTCCACTTCGCGTATGCTTAGCGATGCGGTGAATAGCAGCAATATAAATGCTGCTGTCGCGGCCGCAGCGCTCGCTCAACAACATCAACAGCAAATGCATCAACAACAACAACAGCACACCACTCACTTGTTGCCTCATCCCCATTCGCATCAGCATCACGTGCAGCAACAGCAGCAACAGGCGGTCAATAATCATCACCACCAACAACAACAACAACACCAGCAGCAACAACAACACCAACAGCAGGTGGCCGCCGTCGCTATGGCCGCCATGACAGCCAATTTATTGCCACAACAACAATTATTGCTACATCAGCATCAACACAGCCTCTTGGGTAATGCTGCTGCGGCGGCGGCAGCAGCTGCTGCCACATGCAATGGCGTAGGCGGCGGTGCCGCGGGTGCGAACACTGGTGCCACCAGCGCACATCACAGTCTTAGCGTCTACTTGCAACAACAGCAGCAGCAGCATCAACAGCAACAACAACAAATCAAACAACAGCAACAACAACAAGCGGCTGCCGCAGCAGCAGCGGCAGCAGCAGCCGCAGCGGCGGTCAGTCAATACACGCTGACACCGACGGGTGGCCTGCAATTGAAAACGTCATCGCCCGCATCGTCGTCATCCTCGTCGTCAGCAATCATTGCTGCTGCTAATCAAACATCGTTGTTGAATGGTTGTGGCAGTGGTGGCGGTGGTGGCGCGACTAACGAGCAAATGTCAACGACGACAGTCAACAGCTATGGCAGCTTGGCAAATGGTAAAACACCGCAGCAACAGCAACAACAAACGGCATATGTTGGTGGCGCCAACTTACAGCCGTTGACATTGTCGCTGCCGAATATGCATCAGACACAGCAGCAGCAGCAGCAGAACCAGCATAAGTCATCATTGCTACAAAAGCAAACACAGCTACAGAACCAGCAGTCACAGCAGCAACAACAACTCCAACAACAGCAGCTGACACATCAACCAGAGCAATTAACTTCGAATCAACAATGGGGACCATTCAAAGTTTACAGTAAGTATTGAAGCCAGATAACAGATAGCAGATACCAGATACTATTGACAATGGATCAATAAACGGACAAATAGTCGAACTGAGAGACGAGTGGGTGGTTACCTAAGCTGGTAGTTACATATATACACATACATATACACTTTGCTTCACACAAATTTCTGTTTGATTCAAAAGTGAGTTTTTCACTTTAAATTAAGAAATGAGTCGTCAACGGCCTTTTGTGCAAAGCTCACATCAATCGGAAGTACCGAGTGAAATCAGCTCGCATTCAAGCTGAGGCTTCCAAGAAAGTAAAGGCCTCCTCCTTTCTTTACTTCCACCAGCGGTAGACTTGTAAAATTTGGTATTTATTCGTCGAGCTGGGATTTTATCATCCATTGCCTACTCTGACCAAAGTAACATGTGTGCGCAGGAATCTTTGCGCGTTGGATTTCTAAGGCGGTATTTTTATTGTTGTTTAGCGTAGGTGTCCGCCAAAATGAATAAATGAACTGGTATATAACTAGTATGAAGATGATGCTTAGTGGGTCCATTGACTAACTATCAGATGCTCGTATGAAAAAAAATCAGTGGTTGATTAGTTCGGTTACTCTTCGGTTCACCATTTTTCAGTTACCGTCCCGTGGAATAGCAGCTGCGATTTAAGTTCGAGCGAAGTAAACTGACATCATTACTTTTGCTGCTGATTTTTGTTGCTTAGATTTTATGGATGGGCTCCATACCATGGACTGCTGTTTGGTTTCTGCATCATACCAAGATTCCTCACCAGCAACGACTTTACTAAAATTGCTAGACTGACCGTTTTCAAATTTGTTCAGGGAAAATTGTGCAGACTTCACTTGAATCTCTTTCTTGGCCTCATTTGAAATTTGTGGTACCCATCGAGCAGATTTCTTCGTGTATCCCTTTACGTGTATTACTTAATGATCGCAATACAGCCATGACATTCCAGCCCAATTCTTTAGTAATCATTTCTTGTGTCAATTGTGAGTCTACGTCAGTTTTGGACATCACCAGAGCTATAGTGACGTCATCAGTAAGAAGTTTTGGTCGAACTTTTCGGGTATTGTCCTTTACGGAAAAGTGTCCGAATGAATAATATTATTGGCTATGATTTAAGCCGAAACCCGAAGAGATTCGCGTGGCGAATTTCTGTTTGTGTTGGTAGTGGAATTTCACCTGACCTATCCTCAGCTATCCCAATAAAGTTAAGTATGATCTGCTATCTAGCGTTTTCTCATTAAATGCTAGGTATAGTTTTTTCGTTACTACGTAACATTCAACTAAATTTTTGACGAGACATTTTCCCTCTTTAATAGAACTGAGACAACTGTTTTGGAAAAACAAACTAACCACGTTACTGAACTTACGGTACCAAGTAGACTTCGAACAAAACCGTTAATCTTAATTGAAAAAATTAAAAATGATCCACCAGCTTAAGAACAGACTTAAGTTCTTCCCTAAGAAATTTGATTTGGAATCCGAGAAAGGCAGAAAAACTTCAAAAAAAAGTGTAAATAACAAAATGTGAAAAGTTTGAAGGAAACTTTTGATTTTGCTGCTTTCGTAAATAAATATTCAATATGTATTGTTCAAACCAGATTTCTTTTATTTTTACAATTTTATTTGCAAGATTATTACTGTTAAATGCAGGGTACGCACAATGTTACGGCGGAAACGGTGCGGTTAAGTATCAGGATTACATAGAGGGTTTGCTCAAATTGAAGGGTAAAATGTTGTCGAACGCTATGCAAATGTTGTTGAAGAAGCAAGAAGATGATGCCGGTGACTACACTAGAGATAGTGGGGATGATAAAAAGTCCTTCATTGATCTCGGTAGTCATCCCATAGCGACGCCGCGCACCTTACATCCGGAAGACTTTACACTGCCGCCGAAGCAACTCTTCAGCGAAGCATGCAAAACTACAACAGAAGTTGAAGCGGAAGCGGTGACAAAGCACAAGCAAAATCACAGTTCAAAACAAAAGAGTGACGGTGAAGATCGTGATGACGAAACGAAGGAAGGAAAAGATGGCTCAAATTGGGAGGATTGGTGTCGCAAAAAAATGGTACAAAAAATGATGGAGAAAAATAAAAGCCGAAAGGAGGAGTCAAGTGAAAGAGACTACGACTCAGAGAAGGACGAAATTTTGGGCCATCGTCATAAGCATCCAAAGGACAAGAAAGTGGAGGAAGAAAGTGAAGAAGAAGAAACGGCTATTAAAACACACGACGATTATAAGGAAGAAAGTGTAACAGATCGGTGTCGCAATGAAACTACAACTGGGAAGAACGATGAAGAAATGGTTACAAGAGAAACCAATAAAGATGAGAAAGAAGAAACTATGGAGAGTCAGCACAAACAGTCAAAAAGTAAAAGCACAGCTGAAGATCGCGAAGAAGAAACGCCAGGGTCAGGCAAAGAAAAGGAAGAAGGTGTTGAAGATCGACAAAAAAGCAGCCAGAAAGTAAAAAGCAAAGCAAAAAGCAAAGATAAAGAGCAAGAAGAAGAAGAAGAAATGAAAAAACCCGATGAGAATAAGAATGAATCTGCTTGCGATCAACATAAATGTCCCAAAGAAAAAAGCAAAGGTGAAGATGAAGAAGAAGATGAAGAAACGACAAAGGCCGATAAGGCTAAGAATGAAACTGCTGGCGATCAACGTAAACATCCCAAAGAAAAAAGCAAAGGTGAAGATGAAGAAGAGGAAACAACAAAGTCCGATAAAGATGAATCTACCGAGGATCAGCATAAGAGCTCGAAAGAAGAAAACAGCGAAGGGGGAAGTGAAGAAAAAACGAAAAAAACCTATAAGAATGATAAGAATAAGAATGAAAGTGCTGACGATCGGCAGAAGAAACCTACAGATGAGAACCATGCAGAAGAAACACGGAAATCTGATAAATCGAATGCAGACCGCAACGTAACAGAAACAAAGAAGCCACAAATAATATCTTGTACCTGTAAAACCTTTACAATATTAATTGGACATGAAAGGACACAGGGCGGCCATGAAACCAATATTGAAAAACCGAATGCCGAAACCAATGAAACCGCAATTGAAAATTCGGATGAAGAAATGGAGGAATGTGATGAAGGCGAAAAATCGATATCTGAAGAAAACGCGCGAGTTACAACTACATGTGCACCCGATGAGGAAGAAGTAGTGGAGGATCACTTTCCAGCGCCTTTTAGATTCACAATAATTGAACTCACTACGACAAATCCACACCATATACAAAAGGGACCAAACGAAACGGGTATTCATTTACCAATCCAACCGACCGCAGGCCAAACATCAAAAGAAACCGAAGGTCACACTACATGTGGACCCGATGAGGAGGAGGTACCAGAAGAACACAAAGTAGAAGAAACCCAAAAAGGTGCTACCTACCAAATGCGTACTCAGCAACAAGAAACTGCATCGGAGAGAAGCAACATGAACACAACAAAAGAGGCAATCGGAGCGGTGACGGAGCAACCTGATAGTAGTGCGTCAAATGACGTCAACGCCACAACAGCATTGCCAATTGACGCTTACCCAACGATGTGTTATCCAGTTACAGTGCCACCAGCCAGTTCTATGCCAGAAGCAACAGCTCAGCCGAATAAAAATACTTCAGTTTCGCCTTCACAACATGCTCCCCCACCGTCTCCCACGAATGCTTCGTCATCCGTAGCTCCAACGACAGTACAAGCACCTAGTGATGAGGCGCAGGAGAAAGCAACAACACAGGTGAGTCAAACAATGCCTCAAACGCAATCATCCGAGACTCAGTCACAACCGCCAGTCCAACCAGAAGCTACTGCTCCACCAACCGCGTCTCCCACGGAAGCACAAACGCCAAGCAACGCATCACAGGAGCCCTCTGTAACTTCAAGTTCAGCGACTAGTGCGCCTGAACTAACGACTCAGGCTATAAGTAGTTATCCGACGATGTGTTATCCTGTAACCGAACCGCCAAACGCTAATATCACAACAGTGCAGCCGATGCAAAATGTAAACACGCGAAAGAGACGTAGATACATGAAAATACGGCGTAAAGCACCCAGAATGCGTGCGACCCTCCATCGCGTTGAACGCGAGTTGAGGCAACGGGAAGATAAACCGGTGGATAGGACCAAACTCCTAAGTCGAGTACATTACGCTGGTCAGCCGAATTATCAGCGTTACTATTTTCGTGGTCTTAGGGACTCCTCAAACGCGGTTAGTCGCCAAAGGAGGTACGACTACTATCCGGACGAGGAAGATGAGCCACAGCTCACGAGATATGGCAAGGAGCTCAATTTACTCGATTATTATGGTGTAAAAGACGAGGAACAGTCGGAAATTTTCGAGGACACCATGCGGGTGAAAGTACCACATTGTCCCACAAAACCACCTCCACCACAGCCAATGTCGCAAAAGTGTGCAGGTAAAATCCACGATCTACAACACTTCCTGCAAGAACCCGCGAAGAAGCCACTAACTACAGTGCCTAGAAATCAATGTGACCCATCTGACGATGAAAAGGTGCCTGAAAACCCCTTGCCTCTTATAATACCGATACCCAAAATTGAAAACGATGCGAATGGCCCGTGCAAACAAGACACTGCCGAAGATTTCAGCTTAGACACGAATTGTGGCACCAAAGACGACAAACCGATGGAGTCGCCTAAGGACTGTAATGACTTTGGTATTGAACAATTTAAGAAGAAAAGTCAAGCACAGATCTCTTTGGAAGCCTTCCGAAAAGCGCAGGATGCAGACCCAATACAACAAAAGCTAAGTTTTATGGGACGCTTACTTGGCCGACGTGGCAAGGTGGCAAAATGTGGGGACGCTAGCGCAAAAAATGCTACAATTCCATCTCCACCAGTCGCTCAACCAGAAGAGAAGAGCAAAAGCATAAATCCCCTGAAAGCACTCTTCAGTTGGTTAAGTCCAAAGCCGAGTTGTGATAAATGTCATCAAAAGACGAAAATAAAAGATATACTGCACCACAAGGATTCAATGAAGCTATTCCATGAAGCTACCGCCAAACACAGGCGTCAAAATGGTAAACTAAAAAGTAATGGGATTCATGGAAAAGACTACTCCGAAGTTTCTCGCAAACTACGGCGAAATAATGGCGATCCCGCTTTACATAAAAGATACACGAACAAACGTCGTAAACATGCAAGCAAAGGTACATCCAATAAAGTGCGTAAGGCTATATGGAATCAACCTCTTATGGAGCATGTTAATCCGCGACGACAGTCGTTTCAACGTCAACCGCAACCAAGGGGTCTCTACGAAGAGTCCAATAGTCGCTTAAACTGGCACTACGATGACGTACCAGACTTATCTTTCAATTGGGATGATAACATTGTCGAGAACATTGGTAATATATTTTGAGCAGGGCATCCGATCTTAAAAATATTTAACTTAACTTTTGGTTGCTTTAAAAATTTTGTTAGTCTAAAATGTAAGGCAAGACTTTTTCTACAAAGCGTAAAAATAAATTAAAATATTTCTTTTTGTTTCTTTTAATGTTTGAGATTACCCAACTCAATGGTACTTTTTGTGTGCGTTGAAGTCTTTCAGGTAGTCTCACAAGTAATGAGATAGGGTGATCCAACTTTCTCTAGAACTCGTGTATACCTTACGGCGATTTTGAAGTGCAGTCAGTAAGGCGAGAGACCTGTGGCTTTAAAGTAGTTTACTGGCACCAGGAAACCACACTCATTGTCTAATTGAGTGTTTATAGTGAATGTTCCGTGTTGTGATTGTAGACCTTGGTGGCAAGTTTAGGGAATCTGAATACTCCTTTGGTTTGGCCACGGAGCGTATAGTTGACAGAGTTAACTTTCTGATCAGATTGTATTCGGGTTAGTTTTATGATTAGTGCTTCCTAACAGAAGGGCCGGTGACGTTGTAGCTTATATAGTAAAGAAGTTACCTTATAAATGAGTCGAAAGTTATAAGAAACATTGGTGGTGAGGTCTTCCTCGTATTGTTTTTACCGACCAATTAATTGTTGAGTTTTTTAAGGGAAGGTTGTGTTATCAAAAGGTCAACTTACGGTTGCTGTTGTTGTTGTTGTATCGGTTGTTTTACCCCGCTTAGGAACTGGCATCTAACGGGAGGTTCACGAAACGAGCTGTTTCGACGGGTTCGAACCAGAAGGAGAGTGGGGTTAGACTTGTCGGTTTTAGGTGCATGTAAAGAGTTGGTTAGTGCCGTGCAAGGAAACGTACGCTGGGTATGTTGGAATCGAGTCTGGATAAGTAGGAGCTTAACCTGCTGCAATATCCAGACCTAAGTGTCGCCAGTATTACGCGTGTCTTTCGAGGCAGCTCGAGCTCTTTGTCTACTAAGGGTGCTGTTTTGACTCACAAGGTGGGTGTCTTTGAAGGTGTTAACGGACTCCTAGAATACCGGGTTAAGACACTGCTAGTCTTCGGCTTACGAAAGACAGGTTCATTTTTGATCAGGTGGTATTCGAAATGCCATGATATAGCTCATTTTAGTGAGCGATAAGCGTGAACTATTACTCGCAAGTAGGAAGAAATTGTCTACCCTTAAGCGTCACACTAGGCGAGTAGTTAGCAGTACGCACTACCGTGGCAGAGAGACATAGGTTCAAGTCTCGACCAGGACGATAACCGTAGAATTAGAAAATTGATTTAAAATAATAATTGTAGTCGCACATCGGCAGGTGTGTATGCCAGTCATGAAATAAAAAGCTCTTTGCGAAAATCCAACAGCCGTTCGGAGGTGACTTGCAACAATCAGCGGAATCAGCCTTTCATTGGAAAAATATCAAGACGCATGCGAGGAATTGGAAGAGGAGCTCGGACTAAAATCACTTCAGCCGTTCTAAAATCGATTTACTGCGCTTCCAGTTCACTTTTCCTTTATTTTGAGTGTATTCTGACCAGTATTTTTCCGATTTGTATGCACAATTTGATGCTCGAGATCTTAATACACTTATGCGGCAGGGGTTGACTAAAAGAGACACTGCCCTACATTATAAGATTAAGAATTCCTAATATTAAACCCGACGATTCACTCGCCTCGAAATAAGCGGATATTAATATTGGATACTTAATTCTATGCAAAGTTTGTGTATCTGCTCGAAGGGATTGCAGAAAGGAAGTTGACCTATTGACAAGTCACAATCTACTGGGACCACACGCGAGCCGAAGGGGTACCCGTAACGATGCCAAATGCATCACGTGCAAGGAAGCAGACATGAGCGAGACGCTGAAACACCTTCTCTAGTTCTGTCAGGCCTCATATAGAAATTTTCTTAGATATCTACAATAAAAGCTTCGCAGTTCAAATGACGCTCCCTCTCTTGCTCTCGTTCTCGGTCTATTGAACTACACATAAGCCGCTGACATCCTGCAGGACAAGGATAATGGGCATTATAATGAACCAGAAGGTTTATGCTTCACATGCTAGCCAGCCAGTTTAACCTAACCTAACTTAACTACATGCTATATATATCGTAAATTTGGTTGCTGAAGATAAACCATTCCAAAAAATTCTAATAAATATATCTTTGACCAAGAAAAATTCTTTTCATTTATGCACTTAAAACTTTGGAAAATAATTTAAATATGTATCACACACTTTTTTTTCCTTCCAGGCAATCCGGACACATTAATTTGCGGCAATTGTCGGGAATGTTTCAACGAACTGGCTGAATTATTAGACCACAAGCGGAGTTATTGCAAGTTGCGTTTCACATGCAAGTGCCAGGATGTTGCCTTCGCTGCAAGTAAGTATACACTCTTACGTACACACACATACACACACACATATACCAGCTGTGCTCCCACATGCAGAGTATACGCCAAACAGCCAAGTGCTGGTGTTATATCCTTGTAGCACCAACAGATACTGCACTCCGAAGTAGCAAGAACTGCAATTACTTAAAATATTTACATATAAATATACATATGTATGTGTTGTGTGTTGTTTGTAGGTGTGTATTTATGTATTTAGCTCAGCTATAACCACTTCATGCTAGCGGTCCTGCATCTTACTGAATTTTGTGTTGATGTTGCGTATTATATCATTTGGGTTTTTGTTTTTATTTTTATTGTTCTTGCTCTTGTACTTTCTGCCATTTGCATCTAGTGTTGTTTGTAATTAATTTATTATTGTTTAACACTTTAGCAGACGTGTAAGTCGACATTTGTACGCACATGTTTGGCCGGCAGCCCATGATGGCAACACTCTGTTCAGTATAATCACCACATATTAGGGGTGTACTAGTCAGCAGAAATGTTTTTCTATATTTTTTTTTATTAATTTCTTAAATGTGTAGGTACTTAGTGTGGAAAATATAAATATTTTTTTTAAACTTAGCAGTCCGGGAAAATTAGTTTTAAATATTTTTTAAATAATTTTTTATAGTTTTACATCTGCCTGTGACTATAATACATGCGCCTCAGCAGCTGATACTGTAAATATAAAGTCTCGTCTTTATTTATACTTAACTTTTCCTATAGGGAGGCTTGCCTCTTTGCTTCATTCCCAACAGATTTGTAGCATAATTTTAGGAACTTCTATTGCATTGCATGCCTTCACTGTGGCTTTTATGCCCTTGGAAGGTGAAAGTGAGTTTGGGAAAGTGTGAGATTTTATAGCTCTTTATTTAAGTTAGCTGCTGGCAAAAGGATTATTTCAAAAGTTGTGTGAAAGTTAGCAACAGCTGTTGCATTGTTGATTTTTAAGTGGGAAGACTTTGTTCACCATGTGATGCACTGAGTGAAAGTGGGAAAAAACAACCAAAAATGTTATGTGCGTAGTCTCAACTGACTTGAAAAGGGTTTGAAATTAGAAATGTGTAAAAATTTCATGAAATCAGTTCTGATATATACATATTATAATCACTTTCCACATAAAGATAACTATACCGTTAAAAAGCTGAACTAAAACACAAATTTCAAACAAATTCAGAGGAGCTCGTTTTGTTACTATGGAAATTTTTTTACAGAATTCTTTATTCAACTTTCAATCCAAAATGCTTCAATAATTTCAATCCAAAAAGCTTCGTTTAATTAAATTAATTGCAATATTTGCTAGGTTTTTATCTTATTTTAATTTATTTCATTTTATTTCTTTTTATGTTATTTTATTTTGTATATGAATTCATTTTATTTCATTGTATTTAATTTATTTAATTTAATCTGATTTAATTTAATTTTATTAATTTTTTTATTTTATTTTAGTTATCTGTTCAATTTTAGGTCAATTTATTTTGTTCTTTAATTTATTTGTTATTTTTTAATTAATCGATTTTATTTAAGTTACTTTAATGTAATATAATTTAATTTTCTTTTATTTTGTTTTACTTTAATTATTTATTTTTTGTTTTATTTTATTTTATTTAGTTTTATTATATTTTATCTTATTTAGTTTTTTTTTTATTTTGCGTCATTTTTCTAATTTTATTTTATTTTATTTATATTTATGTCAATATTTATTTAATTTAAATTATTTTTATTTAAATTAATTTATTATGATTTATTTTATTATTATTTAATGAATTTTTTTTTTAATTTTTTTAATGTCTTGTTATCTTATTTTATTTTCTATTATTTTATGTTATATAAATTATTTTTAGTTTAATTTAACTTTGTTTTCTTTTCATTTTATTTTAATTATTTCATTTTGTTTTATAATTATTTTATATTATTTCACTTTATTTTATTATGTTTAAGTTAATTTTATTTTTTTAATCTCATTTTATATTATTTTCTTTTGTTTTATTGTATTTCAATTATTCTCTGTTCTACTTGTTTTCGTTCAAATTTTTTTTTAATTTTTTTTGGTTTTATTCCAGTTTATTTTATTTTATTTAAATTATTATTTATATTTTGTTTTATTCCATTAAATTTTTTTTTATTAAATTTTGTTTTCTTCAACTTTGTGGATCGTTTTTTATTTTACAATATATTATTTTATTTCATATATTTTTTGTTGTTTTATTATACATTTTTTTTATTTAATTTAATTTAATTATATGTTATTAATAATATTATTTTGTTTAATTTTGTATTAAATAATTAACTTATTTTATAGTTGTAAATTTTCTATTTTGCTTTATTTTAATTTTATTTTATTTTTCTTATCTTTTTCGTTTTCTTATTACGATGTTTCATCTAAATCAGTAAACTATTGAAATTTAAAAGTTCTCACTACTAGAGATAAACTAATTTACTTACCTTCCCGTTATCATTTCTCTACAGAAACACCACCGATGAGCGCCAAATTGTTGTGTGCCGTTTGCAAGGACGCCTTCATCAATCCGTGGGATCTAATGGTGCACGCACAGGCCGCTCACATGGTCAACATTTACGAATTGGGCAATGAGGCTAATAACAATTACACCATAGCCGATTCAAACGAAATTGCCACTACAGCCACTGCTACAAACAATATCAACAACAACAACAACAACAGCAACAGCAATAATGGGACCTCAATCACAACCACTGCCAGCAGCCAGAACAACAATAACGGTACGGCTGATTTAACTAAAAATGGCCAGTTGTCATCGCCGTTGCAGTCGCAGTCCGTGTTTAAGATCGAGTTAAATAACAACAACAACAGCAATAATAACAAGAATCTAGCTAATCACAACAACAATAGCAACAACAACAGCAACCACATTGGTGATAATGATATACAAATGTCGCCAACAACCGAAACAATGTCCACGCACATTACAACACCAACAACAGCAGCAATATCGTTGGCTGCTAAATTAGAGAACAACAATAATAACAACAAAAATGAAAATAACAACATGAGCAATATGTCGATTGGCGGCAACAGCAACGGCTTCACTGCCAACAGCAATGGGCATGTCTTCGTCGGCGGTAGTGGCAGCGGAGTTGGAGGCGTAGGCGGTGACGTTGATGGTGATCACTGCATGGAAGGCAAATTTGGCATTTGTCCGAATGGCGGCTCGATTGCCAAAGAGGTAAGTGGTAGATGGATAACTGAGATAATCACACATACATACATACTTGATATGAATGTACACATCCAAACAGACAAGCCGGTTTGAGGCTTCCCTTGCTCTGAGTGAATGCTTTTATTTGAAGCTCTCATCAGTGTAGGGCGAAATGAGCTTTTGCTGTTGTTGTTGTGGGTGTAAATTTGCAAATGCAACAAGCATGTCTCGGGCGTTGTTGTTTGTATTTGCTTTACAACTGCATGCATCCTCCCTCCCATACACACACCCACACACACACACACACACACACACAGAACTTAATGTTTGCGAATTCGTATTAGCCGCGCTCAGTATCATTGCCGGTACTTGTTCTATTTGTATTTGCTATTGCATTTGCATTTGCATTGTCCAATGTTTGCCATTCGGTTGGAGTTTGACATTTGCTGTGTTGCCATTGTCAACATTATTAAGCCATATTAGCTCAGTTTGGCTGTATCTGTTGTTTACTGGTATTTACTTTAGGCCATCGATATAAAAGTTGGTATTGGGGAGGAAACTCTTCTGATTACTGCTGTTTGGGAGTAGAACTTGAAGTTATGATAGATTAAAGAGAGATTTGGGACGTTGAATGAGTTGCGAGATGTCCATGATATCTCTTCCGCTGCTCATCTAATTGGTCGTCTAACGTCTGATTTGTATTTTTATAGTTTATGCTGTGGGGTTTGAGCACGTGACTTCCAAAGGAGTGGAGGTCTTCCTCTTCCTCTGCCTCCAGTGATGGGTTGTGCATCGGACGACACCTAGCCAGCGAAGCAGCTGTCCCTTATTCACTAAACTATGTCAATATCATCGTATTGTTCGTACAACTCATCTGTGGCAATCGTTCGCAAAACTTTTCTCTCTACTCTCTAAGGAGGCTTATCCCGTGGTAATTAGCATAGACTTTGGGGTCCCTTTTTTATGGATTGGGCAGAGCACACTTAAATTCCCAAACACCTTGTCAGCTCTTCACCGCCATGTTTGAATGGCTTTGCCAGTAGGCCTTCAGCCCTAGCCGCTTTGTAGTTTTTAAGCGGGCAATGGCTATTCGAACTTCGACATGGTCAGGTAGCGGAACGTCTGTTCAATCGTCATCGATTGGCATTTTGGGTTCACCACCCCCGTGTGTTTCACTGCCGTTCAGCAGGCTGGAAAAGTGTTCTCTCCATAAATTCAGTTTACTCTGGGTCTCCGTCAATAGATCACTCCTCTGGGTCCTACAAGAGTTTGCTCCGGTCTTGAAACCTGCCGTAAGTCGCCGTAACTTCTCAAAGAATTTTCGAGCATTACTCTTATCAGCCAGCTTCTCAAACTCTTTGTACTCACTCATTACGGCCTCTTTCTTTGTTCGTCTGCGAATGCGTCTTGCTTCTCTCTTCAGCTCTCGATATCCATCCCAACCCGCACGTGTTGTGTTCGATCGCACGATTGCAAGGTAGGCAGTCTGTTTTCTCTCCACTGTAGTTCGACATTAAGACAGCTGATAATGTGAATAATGTTTAAAATCCTGATGCCGTAGAAGTTAATCTTGCACAATTTTGATTTCCTCGATTTTGTTCCAGTAGTTTCGTTGCGACCATGGAGCAGGGTGTGGTAGGTCAATTGCCGAAAATGTCGAGAAAATAATGCAATTTTTAAGTCTAGCCGCCACACGAGCACTGTTTCGATTGCCCATGAGTTATATGATCCACAAAAAATAACTTGGAAGCACATAAAAAAGACTTGATACACAAGCAAGCTCGACATTTAGGTGCCAAATTAGTTAACAAGAATAAAACCACATGCACCGAATTTCCATCACCAATTCCTCGCTGCTAAATTGTGGTGATTAAAAGTGGATTACTTAACTAACGTCAAAAGGAAATGGTCGTGGTCGCAGCGCAGTATGCCTGCATAAACTATCTCCAAGCCAGAATTGACGGTAAGGAAGATTTTGTTGTGTACTTAGTGGCATTCGGAAAGATTCATCCACCACGAACTGCTTTCCTATTTAATTCTGGCCTGTACTGTTAGCAGTTGGAATGGCTGAAGGAAGCAATCATCCAGAAGCGTTTAGCTTTCATCTAAAAGGAGGAGCATTTTGTCTCATTAGCACAACCACACATCGGTAGTCACTCGCCAGAAGCTTCGAGAGCTTGGTTTGGAGGTTTGTATGCAGCCACCTAATAGTCCGAACCTAGCACCAAGTGATTGCATCTATTCCTCTCTCTGGAAATTGATTTGACTGGTGAACAATTGACCCTAAGAGAAGTTCACAAAAATCGATCGTACCAATAGCTTTCTTTCAAGAAGCAAAAAGTTGTATGTTCATTAAAGTCGGATAACTTTAACAGTGGTAAATTAGACCTACAATTTGAGGCAAAAATAATGGATGACTTTTTACTTTACTGATATTAACTTTTTTTCACTCAAATCAATTTTTAATTAGCCAAATGTACCTGAGTGCTGAAAGTACCAAGTACAGTAGCAGTAATAAATCATAACCTGAAGACGGTTAAGGCAGGTAAAAAGTAAAAAAATATTAAATATATTTATTATTAAATATATAAAATCAATCTTTAATTTGCCTAATTGAGTACATTCTATGATAGTCTGTGGCACTTCTGCTTGAACTGTTGTTGTTTACTTACCGTTCATTAAAGGATTAAATAATTTTCGATTATGTCCAGAAGCTCAATTACTTAAAGCTTTCAAACTTCACTTTCTATCTTATCTCGTGCCAAATACACGTTGTATGTTACAGGTATCTGCTTTCTATGAAGCTTAATGACCGAATATCGCTCACACGCGCCGATAACACGCCAATGTAGAATTATACCGTTATCAGCGCAAAGTTATGCAGAAGTTAAACCCATAATCAGTGCTCTTTTGCTTTGTCTTTTCAAACACTTTTCGATTGTATAAAAGCTTGCGCTGGCGTTCAAAATTCATTTACAATTGTATTAACAAAGTAAACGTGACAAGCAAATATGAAATTCGCCATCTTCGCACTCGTACTTGGATTGTGCCTGGCGGCCACTATGGTGAGTGTGTGAAAAGATTAGAACTTTCACGGTGAAAAAAATTTCTTAAACCTCATTTGCTTGTTTGCCTCCTACTTAGGCCGATTTGGACTACTCCGCTGAGAATGATGATCAACTCGTCGAGTTCACTCCACTGGGCAACGCTGAAGAGATTGCCGATTTGTTTATTTTCAGCGTATTCGGCCGCTTAAAGCCCACAATTAAAGTTGGTCTCCGCACGCTCAAAGGTGTCAACTGCACCATAAAACGTGTGTTGAGCATACGCCAAGCTGGTCTTGATTTTCTGCAAGCATTTAAGGATTGCAACAGCGCTGCCTTCAAGGATCTGAATAATGTGATTAATCAAGTTCAAACTGTAGTGAATACCTGTAATGACATTATACACATCAACGAAAATGTCTGCAACAATGGTGACTACAATGACGAAGACGATGCTAAGAAGAAAACGCCGGCGGCTTGCTTCAGCAAATTGGTTAGCAAGATGGTCACACTGAAGAAGCAAATCGCCAAAACTATCACTTTGTCGAAGAAATTGTCCTCCACCCCTGGTGCGTATGGCGCATGCAATGTTGACGCTGTTGATGATCTACTTTCTGTCTTCACCGAATTCCCCACCTTTGTCAAGGAGTGCTCCAAGTTGACTAGCAAATAAATTTTATTTAACAATCTTCTCTTTGTATAACTTCGAAACCAAATAAAAAACTTTTCATTAATACGAGCAAAGCTGCCGAGTTTTTGATATAAGATTTAAAAAAAAAAATATAGTTCAGACTTTTGGGCTGCATTGGCCTCCAGTCAGTCATTCAAGTTTTGGCACCTGATGCATACCGAGTGTTCTGAGACAGAACTAGTCTTTCACAGAGAAATTTAATAAGAGGTGCTTTATTTCCATCGATTGTTATATGGACCTGGCTGTTACTCTCTAAGTCTAAGTCTGTGTATAATTTCGCTGGAGTTATTTAGTAAGGCTCCGGTTCTTTATTTTATCATACTTCGGCCATATCTGCCTCGTTGTCTTGCGATCGGTTATAGATTTCCATCTGTTCTATGATATTTGCTTCAAATGTGTATAAATCACTCTTTTGATAGTTCCTACGGTACATGTTATAAATACCGCATTGGATTCCAACAGAGAGTCTCCTGATTCAGCCAACTTGTTTCCTTTTTGTTGCTGCCAATGTGACTGTGACAGAGAACCCGCATTATTGATAACTGGAGTTGACCTTCTTATGCGCTTTAAGCCTCCCTTGTAATTGTTGACTACACTGGAATTAGTCTTTGGCCGCGACAAGGTAGCAGCGCCCACTCCTGTTTTTATTCAATAAAACTCTACAGGTCTTCTCTATACCCGGCAATTCTTGAAAGATGAGGGCTGAGTTTGGTAGCCGGATAGAGAGGGAGAGAGGGGAGAAAGAGGTGAGAAAGTGGGTAGAGAGAGGGTGAGAGAGGGAGGAAGAGAGGGGAAGAGAGGTGAGAAAGAGTATGGGAGAGGGGTGAGCGGTTGAACAGAGAGGGGAACAGAGGAAATAGAAGAGGGACAGAGAGAGATAGAGAGAGAGAGAGAGAGAGAGAGAGAAAGAATGGGAGAGAGAAATTGAGAGAGGTGAAGAGAAAGAAAATGAGAGAGCGCTGTCAATGTCAAGAGAAATTTTAAATACAAACAAGTAATTAGCTTATATACATAGTTGCTGCTCATTAGCGAGATGAAGCTTTAGGTAATATATTAAAATAAATTTCACAAAATTATCTCAGACTAATAATGTATTCACGGCTTGCCTGTCTGGTGTATTACAGCTGTGAAAATGAAGTGATAATTAAAGGTTTCGCTTTAAAACTTGTTGAGCACGTGATTTTTTTACACAATACACATTCAACTACACATAAATGGGCGTTAATTTCAGTATTGCTTTGTCTAAGAGAGGAATTTTTATAAAATTTTATTACCAACAGAGTTTTTAAGCTTATTTCCAAATTTCGAAAAATTTGATATGAAATCACATTAAGTGAGGTTTTTTACATTTGATTGTTCTCTGTTACTAATGAACGAATGAAATTCTTTTCTACTTTACTATTTTCTAAATACATTTTATTATATTTAATGATTTCTAAAAATATATTTTTTCATCTTTTTTTAATTATTTATATTTTTAAAAAATTAAAACTTTTTTTCATATTTAAATTCCTATTTATCAAAGGTATAAATAAAATAAGAAAATAATTGAAAACGATTTCTATGTTCTTAACAGAAAATCCATCCGAAGATGGTTCAGTATTTTTCTTAAGGTTTATTAGTTACCAATATAGTTTCGAATTTGTTTTAAAAGCACGAGATCGAAAAACAGCCTCTTGTGAGAAAGAAATCATTGTTGGAAAATATATAGTGAACCCACGCCTATCGTCATGTACAGTGAAAGAAAGACCGTAGTTCCTGGCTTCTATCTTCATCCTGTGAACCATTTGGTGAGTCTCTAATAAAAGCAAGCGCTTATTATATGGCTTCCACAATCCGTACCCACTCGGCAGTTCCATGATTGCAAAAGGTAATACTTTGAAGACTCAGTTGAGGTTTTGGGCTATGACTCCGATCGTACCTGTATAGTTTACTGCTGAAAGTGTGATTGGGTGTATGCATTAATTCGTGCGGTTTTCTAAGAGAGGGCTCTACTAGTATGATTTCGCGTCATGTTTATCTGTGGTTTTATTTCATATATTCATTATCCACAGTGCCCGCCACCATACCCTGGACTGGACTTGGTACAATATTCAGTTTTAGACCACGTATTTTCGCTATCGTCTTTCTGTCGGGTTTCAGCTGCAGTTACGTTTGCTATCTAAGATTATCAGATTATCCCGAGATATTCGACTTCGACAGAGAGATTGATTTCCACGACCTTGAGTATGAGTTGTTTAAAAGAAAACGATAAGTACCTCCTGGTAAACAGGACCATTTCGGCGTTTTCGGGGTTGAAAATAGTTCTCTACTAAATACACGGCATTTTTGAGAAAACTGCTTTTGGATGTTTACCAGCTGTTAGAGTAATGCCTTCTATAATAAATTCACGAAGAATGTTGTTAAAACCCCTTACCATGTCCAGAAGGCTCTTTAATCAATTATAATATAATATTATTTCTTGCGTTTAAATAAACATTCCTCTTTTCTTTTTTTGTTCTCTCTTAGGAAACCCAACTCTGCGACTCTCCCTTAGACGAACACATTACGATTTTAGCACACCGCCATCAAGTGGATGAAGTCAAAATGTTGAATGGCTCAGTATCATCGCGTGACAGTACACCTTCCATGGAGCATGACGAACACGAGCCGAAGCAGCCGCAGCAGCAGGAAAAACCGCAGTCTGCTTGTATTGTGCGTACGCTGAGCATTGTAAGTGCAAAGTAAACAGAATATTAAAAGTTAAATTTATAAAAAAAAAAACACAGTAGACATAAATAAAATGATATGCAAACAAATACACTTATACTTAAGGCGTATAAGTAGAGGCGATTAATGAAAAAAAAAACTCAATCAGTTAGTACATTTTATATGCGCACCCTGTAGGAAAATTTACATGATAACGGGTTTTCAAATTGTTTTAGATTTCCTAAAGAGTGGGAGTCAATGAATTTAAATAACTTAAAATAAAAAACATTGTGCTTCGGTTTTTTAAATTTGATAAAGTTTGAAAAAATATTATTTTTTCTTTGCTGAGCAGCAAATTTTTTACTCAAAAAAAAAAAAAAAAAAAACTATAAATATATATGGTAGGTAATATTCGAGCCATGAAAATAAATATTTGAAAGTTCATAAAATGTTTTTTTTTTCTTTGGAATATTTTTAATTTCGAAATCATACTATATCCATACCATATCCATACCATATCTATACCATATCCATAACTTTCATGCACATTAAATGGCCAACGTTGGCCCAAAATATGTAAGCACCAGAAGGAGAAGAGTTAGATCTAATGAAAAATTTACACCGATTGGGTCGGAATGGCGAATTGAACTAATTTGCCCGTCGGTTAGAATTTTTGTACCGCGGGATTTATTTATCAGATATTTCTACCAAATTTGGTCTTTCTCGAATTTATGATTTTGGTTCACAAATTCGGTACTCCAGACTCAGATGATGAATTACAAATTCGTGCTGAAAATCATCAAAATCGGTTAACTTTTTCCTGTAACAGCCGCCATATTTTGTTAAGTTATTAAATGTTCGGTACAAAATCGTAAGATCCGTTGTTATGTCAGCATTGTTTAACCATCAGACCTGCCTCCTGCGATGCACTAATGAACCTCAATAGATCCACGACTTTGACGCCGGCTACCTTCGATAGACCATCCAGCTGAAAACTATCTCTATTCAAAGCAGAACAAGAGCATAGGAGTTGTGAGATCATTTCCTACTTCTCATCAACCCTGCAGCGTCTTCTATAGGGAGGCCTTAGATTCTCTGAGCTTCTGCTACTTTGGAGATGTTCCCTTTTTTTAAGAAGTATATTTATATCTCGCGATATCTTCCTATCGCATAACGGCCAGATGTACCTGGATTTTGCAGCATTTCTTCTTGACGCGTTTCGCTCATTGGTAAATTCCTTAAGAAATAGTCAGCAGAAGAATAACTGCGTTCTTTATTGAGAAGAATCTTGTCCAGCAAGTACATCCACCTTATATTGTAATTACCCTCGATATCTCCGTAACCAGGTACCAATTTGAGAGATAGTCTGTTCAGTTTGGCCATCACCTGTAGAGATCGGGTACAGTGTAAACGAGTTCAGTACTTTTATAGCTTGTAGCGACATTTGCTGAATAAGAAGCTATCCTTAACTTTCATACTGACTCTGGTTTGGTTGGTAGCTGTTATGATAATAGAGAGATTTCCATTGGTGTGATCCCTGAGAAGACACTTTCGCCAACTCTCCCTTCAAGCTTTATTTCGACCGCGTATATTCTCAGGCTGCCAATTTGAATATGGTAATTATCACCCAGCCTATCCTGCTGGTCCGAATCGGTCTGTATATCTTTGTAGTAAATCACATTTACCCAATATTTTCGGTGCATTGTCCAATGATTCAACTTTAAATCCGTACATAAGTTTAAATAAATATTGGTATTGAAAATTATTGAAATTGAATTTTTCATTTTGCAATAAATATGATAATTTTACGAAAGGTATAAGGACTTCGGCATGGCCGCAAAGCACTTCGTTCACGTTTTATCAACACAATTTTGCTAATTTTTTTTTACGAAATAATTTGAATATTTTAAACTAAAATTTACTTCAGTTTTAGTTCTATTCTAGCAGTTAGTAATTTTTACTTCATCTTTTTAGTTTTTTTTGCTCAGTCACTAGGGACAAACTAGTACCTCTGGTAACTAGTTAATTCCTGGCATGTTTTATTTTCTTGCAGGGCATGTATTGACACACATATGTGTCAATTTTTTATGTGAGGTTAAATAACAAAAAAAAAAAAAAAAAACAACTAATAATACAAAATATTCAATTGAATGGTGAGACATTGAAAAAATGCCTTTGTCATAAATTAAGTTAACAGTGAAATGCACTAATTGCTGGTGAAAAACGCAAATGTGTACACAATCGAAACATAACCAGATTATATAACTATATATATACATAGATATGTGCATATCCTTGCTTCAAATGCCAGCAGTTAGTGCAAATAAATAATAATAATAAAAAAAGGCATCTACATATAAACAGTTATAAATAATGTGACACATGCGCTCGGCCGCAAGCCCGCGGTTGGTTGGGCGTGATCAATTTCGCAAACAAAAATTTAAATTAAAAGCAAAATATTGACAATTATTCATTTATTTATTTGTATTTACATTTGTTTTTTTTCGCTTATTCTCTTTTTTCCATATCCCTCACTTTCTCTCTCTTTCTCTCTGTCCTTCTCGCACTTGAAAGGAAGCTGCCGCCACCAACAGCAACAATACAACAACAAGCTTGATGACCAGCACTTTAGCTTTAAGCCTTACAAATGGTGTGGCAAATACTGCAACAGCTGCTGTGGCGCCACAGTAGATCCTTGACGGCGGAAAATAAAGCACCAACAAAAAAAAAAAGAGAAATAAATAAAAATTAACAACAAAAATGCTGGCAGTAATCGTGTGACTTATTTAATACAAATACAAACACAAACAAAAGTCAAATTAAAACGAATGATGTGCTGAATTGGTTTCGCGCGCGCACACGGCGTATGAGTGACGGCGGACGAGGTGGACATGCGGATGTACTCGTACGAGTATGTGGGCTGATGCAGAGAGCTGCATATAAAAATACGTATATGTGTATAGTGTGTGCTTTAATATGTGGTATGCAGTATTTATAGGCAGTTACATTCATATGCAAATTTGGCGGTGTTGGTGAGTGAAAAGATTAAAAATAAACTTTATTTCCAGATTTTTTCTTATTAATATAATTTTTAATACATTTTTCTTTGTTAAATGGCCGCAAAAGTGTGTGCATAAGCTTAAACAAAAACAAATAAAAATAAATTAAAAAAATGTATAAATTTTAAACTGCCTTAACTGTTTGTTATGCCAGCAAAACAAATGCAATGAAATTTTTGATTTGTCAATAATCGTTGCTTACTTTAGCTGTCAAATTTGTATAAATAAATGCGATGAGGATTAATAAAAATTATTTTGACAACTGGCTAAGCCTTACTCTTAATTAGCCTTTAATGGTTCTATTTTAATTTTTCTTTTGATTTTTTTTTTGGTTCTTTTATTTTTTAATAAGTACTAATTTTTAATTCAACATTTTTTAAATTATAATCATATTTTGTTTCTAATATCTCTAAATTATTATGCATGTTTTAAGGTTTTCCAATTTTTCTGATTTTTATTTCTAATATTTTCAAGTTATTGTATTTTTTGCTTCTATGATTTTCAAGTTATTAAAATTTTTATTTCTGTAAATATTAAATTATTATTAATTTTTATTTCTACTTTTTTACATATTATAATTTTTTATTTCTAATATTTTTATTTTATTATAATTTTTGTTTTTAATATTTTTTAATAATTATTCATTGTTGCTTCGAACATATTTAAGTTATTATTAATTTTTTCTAGTATCTTCAAAATATTATTAGGTTTTGTTGCTAATTTGTTTGTTTCTAACATATTGAAATATTTATTAGTCTTAGTATTTAATATTTTTAATTTATTATTATAGTTTAATGCTAATATTTGATATTTAAATTAATTTTTGTTTTGAAGAAATTTAGATATTCATAAATTTTGGTTTCTAATATATTAAATTGTTATTAATTTTTATTTCTTCTTTTTGTACATATTATAATTTTTTTGTTTCTAATATTTTTAAGTTATTATTATTTTTTATTTCTAATTTAATTAAATAATTATTAATTTTTATTTCCAATATTTTTAAATTAATATTTATTTTTATATCTTTATTTTTATTTCGAAGAAATTTAGATAATCATAAATTTTGGTTTCTAATATTTTTAAATCATTACTAATAATTTTTCTAAAATCTTTTAATTATGATTAATTTTTGTTTTTTTTTTTTATTTTCAAATTTCTATGATTTTTATTTAATTTTTATAAAATTGAATTGAGTTTTATTTCTAACATTTTTTTATTATTGTAATTTTTGTTTCTAATATTTTTGACTTATTTTAATTTTTATTGCTAATATTTTCAATTAAATAATAATTTCTATTTTCCATTTTTTTAATTTACTATAGATTTTTGATTTTACAATTTTTAAATTATTATAATGTTAATTAGTATTAATTTGTGTTCCGAAGATATTATATCTTTTGTTTGTAAAGGATTTAAATTTTTATTACAGATTTTTTTTAATATGCTTAAGAAAATATAAGCTTTTGTTTCTTAGATATTTAAATAATTATTATTATTTTAAAATTTTTATTATTAATTTTTCTAATATATTTGATAAAATATAAATTCTTGATTCAAAGATATTTAAATAATTATTAAAATTTTATTTAAAATTAATTTAATTGTTATTAATTGTTATTTTTTAAAGTATTAATTTATTACAATTTATTGTATTTAAATAATTATGCCTTTTCTGTTGTAATACTATTAACTTTAGAATATTATGTATTTATAAAAAAATTATTATTAATGTTTGTTTGCAATATTTCTAAATTAATAATATAATTTTTGGTTCATAAAATATTTAAGGAATTATTTTCTTTCATATCTAATTTTATTTAATTTATCATAATTTTTTGTTTCCATTAGATTTTGATTCATTTATATTATTAGTTTAAATTATTATAAGCGAAAAGCTAGCAATTTATAATTTTTAATTTATATTTATTATTTACCAATTGTTATTAATCAATCAATTATTGATTATTGTTTAATATTTATTAATTATTAATTAATATTAACTATTAATTGTTTAAAAAGAAAAAATCTTCAAATTTATTTTAGAAAAATGCTGCGGCATTGCCAGAAAGAAGAAAAATTGGTTCTAAGACTAGGTTTTGTATTTAAGCAAATTAAAAAAGTATTAAATATTAGATTTTAACCATAAGCTAATTGATAGTTGCATATAAAATGCAGGACATAAACATACATATCATTTTAAATTAGTTAAAACGTTTATAGAAATATATATATATAAACTCGTAGTTAAAGTTAAGCGGAAAATAAAGGAAAAAATATATATAATATAATATTAAAATAGCATAAAATTCAAAAACTTAAATAAAGTGTTTCTTAGTAAATAATTTAAAATAAATAATAAGAAACGATAAAAATTAAATATCAAAAGAAGTTAAGAACCAAAGTAGAAATAAAAAAATGTAATTCAGAATTAATAAAAAAAAAATTAAAAATTAACTTCACACAAAGAAATTTAGTTAAACTCATTGTATTGTTTTAAAAAATTTAATAAAATCAAAAAACTAATAAAATTATTAAAATGTATGCATTAGAAAATGTTAATAATTTATTATTTATTGCTACATAAAAAAGTTATTTATTTAATATTACTAACTTTTGCTAAGTTTTGAATCTAATTAACGATTTAAGCCATTCAAAAAATATAAAAATTTTAATTATAAATAAAAATTTAATTATTACTAAATTTCAAATTTTCAATTTCTTCTAAAAAAGTTATTAAATTTATTTTTGTCTCAAAAAAAAAAAAAATATTTTCAAGAAAAATGGTAAAATGAGCTTTGTACATAAATAATGTAGAGTTAAAAACTGTATTTTATACGATTTCAGTGTAACATATATAAATATAAACATTAATAAATATGTATTAAATAAATAGTTTGACTAAAATATATATCATATGCTACATATAAACATATAACAACTGTCATATAATATATAACAATCGATATATGATATTAATATATGATATATATATATATGTAGGTAAAAGTTATTGTCATATGAACAACAGTTAATTTAGAAGAAAGTGAATACGTATAAACAGTATGTGAGTATTATAAAAGTGCTTAGATAGTGAATATTATACAACAAAATATGTAAAAAATTCGAAAAAAAAATATATAAAAAACTAAACAAAAAAGCATAACAATATATAAATGAAAAGGTATTATATAAATCGGGAACATATGCTTGTGTGTGTCTGAATATGTTGTATAATAGAACATGTGTGAAATATTTGCAAAAAAAATTAATTAAATTAAATTAAATAATGACAAAAAAATTAGTAACAAAAATTATTTGAAAAAGCGTTTATTACTAATTTGTCGCTTTTATGAACAATTTAATTAAAAAAATAAATAATTTTGAAATGTTTAAAATATTAATAATTTTACATGCAAAATATTTTACTAAAAGTTTTCTTAAACAAACGTGCCGTGCTATGGAAATTTCCGATAGTTTTTTAGAAAAAAGTTGATAAAAACATTGAAACTTGATATATATCTTTTTTTTCAACAAAAGTGTTTATATTAATTTAAAAATATATTATTAAAATAAGAACTTAAAAAACGTGTAACAAAGCAAATTAACATTTTTTTTAATTTTTAATTTTAAATAACACTTTTTGATTTATTTTTTTTTTTTTTGTTTTAAAAACCTGTTGGAAAAAATCCACACGCTAAATAACTTTTTAGTGGCTTTGAAGCAGGAGATGTTGCATTAAAAAAATAATATAAATATACTTTTGTTCATTTCTTTGGCAAAAATATGTAGAAATATAAAAAAATGTTTAAAAATTAATTTTCATTATAAATAATATTTTTCAAGTTGATACATTTCTACATACATATTCGTATATATACGCCTTCTTTTTAATTGAACTTTTTTTTAGTTTTGATTGTTTAAAAAATGGTGTTTGAGTAAATGTTTTAATAAAATATTTTTTAATAATCTCTAATATTACATATGCGTAAATACAGGGTTATCTATTTTGTGGCTTTTAAAATAAAATTTGAAGCTTCACATATAATATGAAATGCAGCATCATCGAAGTGACCGCCTCGCGAATTTTTGCGTACCTCGATCAGTGTGAAACAATTTTCGACCAATTTTCGGCACATATTGGGCGGTATCTTAGCCATAACTCGACAAATGTTGGTTTTCGAGTGCTCAAGAGTTGAAAGTTTAACGGCATAAACACGGTCTTTCGCGTATCCAGCCATATTCGCTCGTGTTGTGTGGCATGTGGCTCCGTCTTGTCCTGTTCTTCACTTGATGGCCATAAAAGACGGTTATCATACGACCATAAGGCTCTGAATTAACAATGACAGTTTCGCCGTTGTCGTTTTCAAATAATTCAATCACACCTCCGGACCAAAGAGTGCACCGGGCGGTAGATTTTTTTTGCTCCAATGGCGTCTCTTCAATTATTTGAGCACACTCAAAGCCTCAAATGCGTCAATTTTACTTATGAGTGAGAAATGTAGCTCGTTGCTCATGAAAATTTTCGTTAGAAAAAGCGTCGTCTCTTGCTTGTTGTTCGAGCACCCATTCGTCGTATGAGTACGGCGTTCTGAATGATCAGCTGGCTTCAGTAGTTGTATGAGCTAGACTTCATATGGATGTAGGCGTAAGTCTCAGTGCGAAATACTTCATAAAGAGCCATTAGAAAGCTCCAGCTCTTTAGAGCTTCGAAAAGTCGATAAGTTCGGGTCTCCGGGTTTGCATTTACAGTAGCGATATTTGAGGTGTAACGAGCACAGAAACACAGGCCGATCCAGTCGCTTGAAAATTCCTTAAAACCGTACCAATTGCTTGAATAGTTGGACGATTGTACGCCAGAATTTCCTCTTAAAGCACGAAACGTAGTTACGTTTGAATCACCATTTTTGTTGTGGGTCTTAACATATTCAACGCTTTGTGCGTTTTGTTAAGCGCTCCATTCTCATAAATGCCCGACTTCTAACTAAAACAAAACATATTTGGTTTGGCAGTTGTCTTTGAGAGATGTTAAAATACATCCTTGCGGATGACAAGCGTTCTTTTATCATAAATGCCCGACTTTTAACTAAAACAAAACATGTTTAGTTTTACAGCTAAGTTTTACATATCCCTAATTAGAGCACTAAGGTTGATATGCGCTCCATTTTTATAAATGCTTTGACTTTTGACTAAAACAAAACATGTTTGGTTTTACATTTAAGTTTGGCAGTTGACAAAATTCAGCTCTGCGATTTGGTAAGCGGTTGTTTTTCATAAATTTTCTACTTTTAACTAAAACAAAACATGTTTGGTTTGACAATTAAGTTTGACAGATCTCTAATTAAAGCCCTGCGGTTGGTAA